ACCTTGACAACTCCCCTCCCTACTCCCCGCTCCAAGCCCTCCTTCTCCGCTACTCCCCTTCTTGGGGTTCGGGTGTTTGTTTTGACTCAACCTGGTCAGTGAATAGCACCCTTGTCTAGCGCTCCCCCTCTTTTCCTCTCTAGGCCAGGTCCCTAGGAGGCTCATTCCAGGGCTTCTTTATTTTTGGACCTAAAAAAACCACACCAGCTTTTGCTGAGGACAGCGTTAGGCTCCCCCCGTGCCCTGGCACACTGGCAAAGAGGAAGCAGGGAGGAGGCAGGAACCAGACGCGACTGCCTCTGCCTTTCTTCCCTTCCCTGCTCCCCGCCCCTTCAGGAAGAAAGCAGTCAGAGATCTGATGGCTCGCTGTGGCCGCCGTGCCAGCACCAACCACTACGTCCTCCTTTTCCTTCCACCCAGTTTTGCTCAGAGCGCCCGGTGGCCTGCGAGCCGCAGTCTGGGCAGGTCCTGGCGGGCGGAGCAGACTCCCCTCCCCAGGGGTTCTCAGCGAATCACGCTGTGCCTGAGCTTTCACGCTCTAGTGGCTCTTACGTAACCCTACGCCCTGGCCTAAGTTAATACTTTTTTTTTTTTCTTTAAATACCAGAATTAATACTTTAGGAAAAGGCCAATACTTCCGCCACAGAACCCGCCCAGGAGTAAATGTGTAAATTACCTGGAGGATTGCAGATCGATTCGCCCACCCCTAGAGCTCCGGGGTCGGGTGTGGGGGGTGGTTCCTGGCTCGAGGGGATGGGGGCCCTTGGAGAGGCCGGAGGAGGGCCCAGCCCAGACGTTTGTTTTCACCGGGTCCTGCTTAACCGCCCGGGCTCAGCGTTACCAAAAAAGGCCTTTCTCCTGCCAGAGCACTTGGCCCTGCCGCTTTGCAAGCGGGGGTGACGCGAGGTTCAGCCCGGGCCTCTTCGAAGGCCAAGCCAGTTGGCTGCGGGGATGCCAGGCCGAAGAGTCCCCAGCCCGACCCATCTCTGCCAAAAATCCGCTCGGGGATCAGAAGGGAGACTGCATGGAGCTTAGAAGTGCGTGGACACGCCGCGTGCGGCTTTCTCACCCTTAAGGTTGGGCTGTGACCTCTGGAAGGGCCAAGTGGAGAGCTGACCTTTTGGTCCAGTTTGGGGGTGGGGGTCGGGTTCTCTGAGGGTGCCAGCTCAGATGCCAAGCTGAGGGGAGACACAAACTTAGGAAGGACATTTAGGGAGGACTGCAGGTGTTTCCCCTGGAGCCTGGTTGAACCTCTGGTTTTGCTTGTCTCCCAGACCCCACTGCAAAGAAGAGTCTCTCCACCAGATGCCTTCGGCTGAGTAGGCTGAGCACTCCCCACTTCCTTCCTTCCCATTCTGTGGACACAGCACTGTCACATGGGATTCGCCTCCAGGGGAAAATCCACCTCCAAAACATTGGTTCTTGCCTCTCCATGGTCCTTGACATCCCCAAACACGGGCCTTCTCAGACAAGCAGTGAGGACAAAACTGATCACCATAAACGATGGTGATTCTTGGACGGGGGTAGGGAATCAAGAGAGCTATGCTTTTTAAATTAAAGTATTATGAGACTGTAATGGAAGTTTGTTTAAATGCATGTTTATTTCTAACTCACTGTGTCTGAAGACACCCGGCATGTATGTGTATATATATATCCCTCCTTTAGTAACAGCGAAGACAGAGACAGACAGGGAGATGGAGACATATGTGCGCGCATACCAAACATAACACTGTGACATAGACTCCCAACGTGCTTTCTCTAGCAGCCTGGCTAGAGGGTTGGGAATAGGCTGCTGTTCCTCAGTATTTTTGGTTTAATAAAGGGATAGAATGAATAAATATTAATGTAAAGATATGGGTGAAGCAGCCTAGCCGAACCTAGAACCTAATGAGCCTGGAGCCATGGGCTGGTGGGGATGTCACTACATTTTCCAGCCCTGTGTTTTGACTCACTCCAGGGTGGCTGGGGTGTGGGGAGGGCTGAAGTTTGGAAGGGTGAGGCAATGCTGCAGAGCAGCTCTTTACAGAACATCACTGCTGGGAGCCAGTCAGCCAGAGAAAGCTCATTATTGTTGGGGGGTGCATAGTGAGCTCACTTTTTTTGCAGGAACAGAAATCCGGCTGCTCTGAGATGAAAGAGGGGCTCCCCAGGGCTCTTCCTTCTCCCTTTCTCCCTATCCTTAAAACTCCCCTTCCCCTGCACCTAGGACCCCAGAATGAGTGGAAGAACCTTGTGCTGAGGAGTTGCTGGATGGGAGAACAGGCTCTGAAGGTCAAGGGTCAAAATAAAAAAGACTTCTTGTTTCTTCAACTGAACTTTATTACAATGAGTAGTTAACAGTAGTGATGAGAATAATGATCCTTATATTTTATACAATTTACAAAGGGCTGTCACATGTTAACTAGCAATAGTACCCACGTTAATAGCAATACTAATAATAACCAACACTTACTGCTGGATTCCTGGGGGGCTGACACAGTGCTCCAAACACGCCCGCCTGCTGTATTTGTTTTAGTCCGCGGTAGTGGAGGATCCAAAACTTCTGCATGTGTAAGAACTCACTGGCACAACCTGTTTGGAAAGGGAAGGATAAGGGTTGGTTCTGAACGTGTATTTGCATAGCACTTTACATGAGAGGGTATGTAACAGAAGAATGGGGGGACTGATGGAAATTTCGAGCACTACAAACCACCTTTGAGAACCTGAGCTAGTAACAGCTACTTCTCAAACCAGATTTACTGGATTCAGATCCCAGCTCCATCTCTAATGGCCGCGTGACCTTGGGCAAGTTATTTAACCTCTTAGAGTTCACGACAGAATCTACCTTGTAGATAATATTGAGAGTTTAATGATGATGCAAGAAAATTACCTAGCAGTGTCTGGCTCACAGCAACCTCAGTGAGTTACCTCCTATTATGACAAAAAACAAAATGAAATCTCAAACCATTCTAGTAAGTTGGGAGCTATGATCCCATTTCACAGATGGAAAAGAGAGAGAGTCCGTGAAAGAAAGTAACTACATCAACGTCACAAAGCCAGTAAGTGATAGAGAAGAAATTCCAACCTGGTCTGCCAAACTCCAGAACCTGAAATGCCATTCTATTGCTTCTCCTCCTCCAGCCTTGCCCAGGATTATCTCAATTTTCGGGGCGGTTGGGGGAGCAGACCCAGTACATAGAAGAATCAGTTGAACTGCCGTCACTACAGCTATGACCAACATATCTGTTCCACAATAAGCAATAATGATGAGCAGTGGTTCCCTAACGTTAGAGAAAGTATGGCCTTGCTCAGCCTTCTGGGGCACTGTGGAATGAAATCACAGCACGTGAGAATTTTTGAAAGCTGCCACCGTGCTTTACAAAGAGATAGCAATGTCATTAAATGCTGCCCCACCTTCTTTTATCAAACCCGGAAAAACCACTCACCTGTTCGGCCTCTCCAGCACCTTCCTCCTCCCTGCCCCCAACTGCAGCTGTGCGCATCCCGTAGACTGTTTTCCTTAAAGGCCTCCGGGTGCTCATAGCTTCTTTAGACCTTCAGCCAAAATTTTTAGAGTGCGACTGGGGGGAGGAGTAGCTCACCCTGAATTCATTTAGCTCTGTCGTTGAAACTCAGGTTCCTACACCAGAGCACGAAAACAAATTGAAAAGGCAGTTTCTGGGCAATGGGAAACAGCTCATTTTGCAGGTGCTTTGGCATCAGTGGTAGCAATGAATGCAACATCCATATCGGGGGTGGGTGGGGGAGGTTTGATTACAGATGAAATGAGTAATACCCTATACGAAAGTCGCAACGAAAATCTTGAAAGTGGACATTTAAATGCACTGCTCAGGGTGGAGTGGGGAGCGGGATCGGAAATGACGCTTGTGATTTTTAAATGCGTTTTTACTTGGGAAAGCCGGGCGGGGAAAGGAAAGGTCATCGTCTGTTTAATTTCCACCCCCCGCACCCGCCCCGCCTGGGCCAGGACGTCCAGCATTAGCTCGCCAGGCCTCAGCTGTTGTACACACTCGGCGAGGGGGGAGGGGAAGGCGGAGGCGCGGAGGCGGGGCCTACTGGGAGGAATCTGGGCGTCCTGCCGCGCATGCGCCTCTCCCGAGCAACAAGTGGGCTCCACAGACAGAGGAAGTGTAAAGGGGAGGGAGGGGGGAGAACTGGTGCAGAGCATGGCGGTGACGTCAGCGCTCCGCCCGGGCGGCATCCCGCGCGGCCAAGCCGGGGACAGCGCGAGCCGCAGCGCGAGCTGGAGCGCCGAGACGCGCCTCCGGAACGTAGAGTAACAATCACAACCCCACATTCCCGGCGAGTGCGAGCGGGAAGGGATGCGACCCGGGCCGAGGCGCCGCGCGAGCGCCCTGCAGCCAACGTGAGCGCCGCCAGCCGTGGCGGCCCGGGCGCCGGCCAGGCCTGGGGGCGGCGGGAGCCTGCGTGCGTGCGCTCCTCTCTGCTCTCGTGCGTCCTGGAAGCAGTGGCCGCGGCGGCTCCCTCCGGCCGTGCAAACCCAGCCGCCGCCAGCGGAACGGCCGACGCTGCGGAGGGGAGAAGCTCCTCTCGGCTGCCACCCCCTCCCAACCCCCCGGCCCTCCGGGGAAGCGGCGACTTCAGCAAGATTGGACCCGGGCACCGGGTGGCACTGAACCCTCTAGCCTTCGCCCCAGGGAGCCTGGCGGGGAGAGGACGCAGCTCGTAGGGGGGCCCCCAGGGGAGAGGAAGAGACAGCCCCTTTCGAGCTTCCAAGCGCCAGCCACTCCGGGGAGGGGGCCAAGAGCCAACGGCGGCCAGCACCCGGCACCCTCGCCCCCTCCCCTCGGGCCCGGAGCTTCCAGCCCGGGTCCGCGGCACCAGGAAGAAGGCGCCTGAGCTCCCCTCCCGACGACACAGCCGCAGTAGGAGGTGGGGGCGAGGAGCGGGCTGAACTCGTCCGCCGCCCCGGCAGTGGAGCCCCGGCGGAGAGGCGCTGCGCCGGCGGTGGAGACTCGCGCTCCCTCCAGCCCCTGGGGCAGAACTTTCTCGCCCCCCCTTCCTCCACCGCAGCCGGACTCCCTCCCCAGCCGGCCGGTCCTCCCGGAGGAGAAGGCGCCGCGGAGACAGCCTGGGCGGGGGCCTACCTTCCCCAGGGCCGGCATCATGTCGGCGGCGCAGGTGTCCTCGTCCCGGAGACAGTCTTGCTACCTGTGCGACCTGCCCCGCATGCCCTGGGCCATGATCTGGGACTTCTCGGAACCCGTATGCCGCGGTTGCGTCAACTACGAGGGCGCCGATCGCATCGAGTTCGTGATCGAGACGGCGCGCCAGCTGAAGCGGGCGCACGGCTGTTTTCAGGACGGCCGCTCCCCCGGGCCGCCGCCGCCCGTCGGGGTCAAGACGGTGGCCCTGTCGGCTAAGGAGGCGGCGGCTGCAGCAGCGGCGGCAGCCGCCGCCGCACAGCAGCAGCAGCAGCAACAGCAGCAGCAGCAGCAGCAGCAGCAACAGCAGCAGCAGCAACAACAACAGCAGCAACAGCAGCTCAACCACGTCGATGGTTCCAGCAAGCCTGCTGTGCTGGCGGCCCCGTCCGGCCTGGAGCGCTATGGCCTGAGCGCTGCCGCCGCCGCCGCGGCCGCCGCGGCCGCCGCGGTGGAGCAGCGCAGCCGCTTCGAGTACCCGCCACCGCCGGTGAGCTTGGGAAGCAGCAGCCACGCCGCGCGGCTGCCCAACGGCCTGGGGGGCCCCAATGGCTTCCCCAAGCCGACACCGGAGGAGGGACCCCCGGAGCTGAACCGGCAGAGCCCCAACTCCTCTTCCGCCGCGGCGTCGGTGGCGTCTCGGCGCGGGACGCATGGTGGGCTAGTGACGGGGCTGCCCAACCCGGGGGGTGGTGGAGGCCCCCAGCTCACGGTGCCCCCCAACCTGCTGCCGCAAACTCTACTTAACGGCCCGGCCAGTGCCGCCGTGCTGCCCCCACCGCCGCCCCACGGCCTGGGCAGTCGTGGGCCCCCGACGCCCGCGCCCCCAGGGGCGCCCGGGGGCCCCGCTTGTCTTGGGGGCGCTCCGGGCGTATCAGCTGCGTCGTCCTCGGCGTCGTCTTCGACCTCGTCGTCGGTGGCGGAGGTAGCTGTGGGTGCTGGTGGCAAAAGGCCCGGCTCGGTCTCAAGCACAGACCAGGAGCGCGAGCTGAAGGAGAAGCAGCGGAACGCCGAGGCCCTGGCCGAGCTGAGCGAGAGCCTGCGCAACCGCGCGGAGGAGTGGGCCAACAAGCCCAAGATGGTCCGCGACACGCTGCTCACGCTGGCTGGCTGCACGCCCTACGAGGTGCGCTTCAAGAAGGACCACTCGCTGCTGGGCCGCGTCTTTGCCTTCGACGCTGTCTCCAAGCCCGGCATGGACTACGAGTTGAAGCTGTTCATTGAGTACCCCACGGGCTCAGGCAACGTGTACTCCAGCGCATCTGGTGTGGCCAAGCAGATGTACCAGGACTGTATGAAGGACTTCGGCCGGGGTCTCTCCTCCGGCTTCAAGTATCTGGAGTACGAGAAGAAGCACGGCTCTGGGGACTGGCGCCTGCTTGGAGACCTGCTGCCTGAGGCCGTGCGCTTCTTCAAGGAGGGCGTGCCCGGCGCCGACATGCTGCCCCAGCCCTACCTGGACGCCAGCTGCCCCATGCTGCCCACGGCGCTGGTGAGTCTAAGCCGCGCCCCCAGCGCGCCCCCGGGCACCGGGACCCTGCCGCCCGCCACCCCTTCGGGCCGAGGCACAGCCGCCAGTCTTCGCAAGAGGAAGGCGTCCCCCGAGCCCCCGGACTCCGCCGAGGGCGCCCTAAAACTGGGCGAGGAGCAGCAGAGGCAGCAGTGGATGGCGAACCAGAGCGAGGCCCTAAAGCTCACTATGTCGGCCGGGGGCTTTGCGGCTCCGGGGCATGCCGCGGGGGGTCCGCCCCCACCGCCTCCGCCCCTGGGACCCCACTCCAACCGGACCACCCCGCCCGAGTCAGCCCCTCAGAACGGGCCGTCGCCCATGGCCGCCCTCATGTCGGTGGCAGACACTCTGGGCACGGCGCACTCGCCCAAGGACGGCAGTTCCGTGCACTCCACCACTGCGTCCGCGAGGCGCAACAGCAGCAGCCCGGTGTCACCGGCCTCCGTGCCCGGGCAGCGCCGCTTGGCATCGCGGAACGGGGACCTGAATTTACAGGTGGCGCCCCCGCCGCCTAGCACCCACCCGGGCATGGACCAAGTGCACCCCCAAAACATTCCGGATTCCCCTATGGCCAACAGCGGGCCCCTCTGCTGTACCATTTGCCACGAACGTTTGGAGGACACGCATTTCGTTCAGTGCCCATCCGTCCCCAGCCACAAATTCTGTTTCCCTTGCTCTAGAGAGAGTATCAAGGCCCAGGGGGCCACCGGCGAGGTGTACTGCCCCAGCGGAGAGAAATGCCCTCTGGTTGGGTCGAATGTACCTTGGGCCTTCATGCAGGGCGAAATCGCGACGATCTTAGCTGGAGATGTTAAAGTGAAAAAGGAGAGAGACCCTTGAACCACAAGACCGCCACCTCCTCTGCCCCTGACCAGCTTCTCTCCGATCCAGAGGGCCCCTCCCCCACCGACCCTCCCTCCCCTCACCCCCAAGATGTAGAATTGTGAATATAACAAACTGCAAAAAGTTAGTCTTATGTATAGACATTATTTTCGTCGTATGTTTCTATATTTTGAAACAAAAGGTATGTAACTTCTTCATTTGAAGGATAAGCTGGTTTGTGTTAAGCAGTATAATATTGGTTGGGTCATTTGCATCATTTCGTTAGCATTTATTTGGTGGCAGAGTGTTTGCCTAGGTACAGAATTAATAGCCCTTAGCAACGACTGCTGCTGGTGTGTATTTTTGTAAATGTTATGCACTCTCTGAAAGGAAAAAAAACACAAAAGAAAATGACTTTTTTTTGCCAAGGCCAGTGTTGCTGCCTAAAAAAAAAAAAAAAAGATGCTATAAAATGGTGAAAGCTTCTTTCTAAACAGCCCCAAGAGTTGAAGTCTTCACTTTATTTTGTTCCATTTTGTTCTGTTTTTTTGTTTTTCTGTTTTGTTTGCAAAATGGTAAAGGGGGGGTGTTGGGGGGGCGGGGTGTTTTCTGTTGCAAGTTTGTGAGGGAAAATGTTTTGGTTTGTTTCTACTGACCTGAATGTGTTGGATCTTCACGTGTTGTTTTGTTTTTGCTTTATTGATGCACGGATGCTTTTGAACAGTAGAGCGAAATGCTAGACATGGGGAATCTGCTCTGTTTGTCCTTTATACATTTCTGTAGTTAACAGAACACTGTAATGTGCCTTGGAGCTTAGTAACTTGTAATAAATTCAATTGATATTAATTCTGCCCCGAGTCAGCAAGTGTGTTTTTCTAGAGCTAAGGCCACATAGTTCCAACATAGGGGACACCCTCCCTACCAACATAGAACACAAATGCTGGTGCCTCCACAAACCTTCTTCCGAGGAGGTGGCATCTGGGGGAGGCCCCGTGCTGGGGGACTGCCCCTACCCCCCGCCCCAGTACCAGACTATTTACATTCACCTCTTGGGGGGGGGGGGGGGGGGTGGGACAGTTGCTGACTAAGCAATTTCTGTTTACTCTTCTGCGTCTCTATTTTCCCAGTGAGCACCCCAGCTGCAAATGGCATTGTCGGGAACTTGCCCTGTGGCCTCAAGTGTGTGCTGATCCCCAGTGCAGCTGTGACTTGTGCAAGTGGGGAAAAAAAAATAGGATGCTTCGTCTCTTAGATGTGGCAGAAATCACACTTAACTGCACATATAAAGCAAAAATGCCACAGAGCTGGGAGCTGTCAGTGGAGGCAGGCGGGGTGTGGGCACCAGGAAACAAATGCATGTACTGAGCCAGGAGAGTTGCCAGCAGCTTCCAGCTGATGCATTGGAAAAGCAGTGCCACCTCATTCATCACTCGTTTTTCTACCCTCCCTCCTTCATGATAAGTATTTCTAAAAAGGCAGAACACTTCACTGGTCAGATCATTGTGGGGAATGGGGCAAGAGAGAAAAAAGCCAAATCCAGTTCCTGAGGCAAAGGTCACTTATGACACCAAATAAAACCATTCCCACTGGTGAAAACAATTCAAGTATTCATCTAATCAGTCTTTCTGGCGGTGTTTGTACAGAAGGTACAGAGGTACAGAAGGGTAGGGGACCAGGACAGGAATGTCCTTTAGAGCTCTGAGCTCCCTTGGCTGAGACCAGACTGGAACTCTCCCAGAGCTAGGGCAAGGCAAACAAACCTGGTATGGACCTTGTACTTTGTGGGAGGTGAATGGAACAGTAGAAAACAGGAGGGAGGTAGCAAAACAAAACCCGTCTGAAATTCATTCCTGGTCACACCTGGACTCCCAGGAGGGGGGCATGCTGGGCCAGGTCAGCCCCCATCAAGGTGAGGAGTAAGCGAATAAGGGGAGAGACTTGATGCCTCACCTACTCCTATCAAAGAGGGTGCAAGAGCAGGAGGGTAGGGAGGTGGGTATGGGTGCAGGCATGTTTGGGGAGAAGCAAATCACTGGTTAGCTCAGAACACCGGTGTGGAGGTTGGGTAGGTGTTGGGACTCGCTGTTAATAACACCCTTTTAGTTTCTGTTCCTGATTAGCCCCCACCATCACTGAAATAGTGGAAACCATGATGTGTGTGTGTGTGTGTGTGTGTGTGTGTGTGTGTGTTAGGGAGTGGATAACTGGCAATTGATGGATCTGCAGCCTCTTAATCCTGGTACATGGGAGGTGGCTGTCTCACCTCTTTAAGAATCTCCCCACATATAAATAGATATGCGTGTCAGCTTCCTGCAAATGTGTCCGTGCATTTTCATCTGCCGCCAAGTGTTGTCTTGGTGCTTATGAGTCATGAAACCTATTTTCATCCTCAGGGGTAATTAACTTGGGGGTGATAATGCATAGCAGACTGTAGGAAGAGTTAATTCTAAAACCCATCCTTGCCTGGCTACCAATCACGCATTTCACTTAAAGGTCTGGGTTGGCTTTTCTCATAAGCTCATTAATAAAAACCAAGCATGTTTCGCCTGGAAGATCCTGTAAGGTGCTCCCAACCCCCACTCCCAGCACACACACTCTTCAAATGGGTAAAGCTCAGCAGCCTGAGAATACAGCGAGTGTCACGGGTGTAATTTAACCACCATTGAATGAAGGAGCCGTGGGTGCCGCCACAGCACTGAACTGCGCATGTGCACTTCGATGCGTGGATTACCTGGCGGGATGCGGACCCTGCGAGTCCAGTTCAGTGGCTGCAAGTGGGAGTCGGTCGTTACCTGTCTGTGGGCACCGCCGCTGCTGGGGGCCTGCCACTGTGTTTTCATTGCTCGGGTGTTATGCTCAGAACTTTCAGGATTACAAGACCCTTGCTTTAGTGCACTTAGATAGGGAAGAGCCTGTCATTAGGAGCTGAGAACAGCGTAGTTGCTCCCCCTTCTTGTTGCTGGGTGCATTATTATCAGGAGCGGCAGTAGCTGTAATAATGAGGCATCCAGCAAAGGCGGCCAGTTTGGTTTCACGAAGGAAGGCTGCCTTGATGAGGCCTGGGGGAGAGGCAGGAGGGAGTGGGAGGGAGAGTGAGGATTGGGTGGAACTCAGGCTGGAAGTGAATTATAATGGCACAGTTAATTAAAGTTTACCCTAGCCAGGGGCCATTTCTTAAATGGCGGCTCTCCCTTCTGTTTTTTTGGAACCATGTGACCTTTCTCTTTGACCCATTCAGCCGGGAGTCTGGTTGTCTTAATGGGTCTTGCTCTGATCCCGCAGCTAGGTTCACCCTTCCCCAAAGTTTTCCACATTGCACGCCTAGGAAACGTTTTCTTCTCTGGCATGTGAGGATTCTTAGGGATTCAGAGATTCAGTCTGAGATCCTGGGTGAGCCTAGGCTCCTTTATCACCCCTGGTTGGAGCTCCCCAGTTCCCCCACTTCCCATCCATCTCCCTCCCTTCCCCTACAGAGCCAAGGTGGCCAACATTTAACAATCCATATTGTATTTACTTATATGTATTATTTATACGACTAATCCAAGCCGGATGTTTCTTTCAACGGGCAGGGAGGTCTCAGGCAAGGAGAGTTTTGGGGGAAGGGGCTGATGGGGGTCATTTTTTGACGTTGACCTCTAAAGACTGCACTATAGGAGAGGGCCACTGTGTCCTGCATCGACATATGAACCCACTCAGCTCATGTGGGTATGCATGCCTACCTTATCGAATGGAAGATTCGCGGGTGCACTTTCACGTGCATCCAGCCCAGACTGTTAATGTAATGACTACTGAAATTCACTTTTGTTTTCTCTCATACTTTATCAAATCAAGGAAACGAGAACTGGGAATGACCTTACTACGGTCATCTAGTGAAGTGCTTTCTAAATCGTTTTGAGGTCAGAGACACCACAGAAAAATCAGATAAAGATACGGATCCTTTCCCAGAAAGTACAGGTGCCCTCGTTTACATGGATTTGTAAACATTTTTTCCTTTTAGTATCAATTTTATGTATTTATTTTTAAATAGGTAAAACATTTCTTTGCTACAAAATTCAGAAGGTGTAAAGGGGGGATACAGCCCTATAAGAGCTTTTTGGTGTCATTGGCCCCTCTGCCCCCCAGTTCCCTTCTGGAATGCCACCAGTACTACTCGATTTTTTAAAGGAGTCTATGCACATCTAAAGTTCAGCCACAGAACCTGAGATTAGAACTTAGGTCTAGTCCATCCACCTTGTAAAGATAAGGCTGCCAAGGTATAGAGAGGGGGAATAAATTCCTGTGGTCACCTGGTGGCAGAACCTGGACTAGGTCCCTGTTAAGGACCAGCTCTAACGGATATTTTCTTTAAAAAAATAAAATAAGTAAATAATAAAATAAGGACACCTGGCTTAACTGGAACAGTGTATGAGAAAAGGTGACAATGAGGTAGAAGGAGTAGGAGTGCCTGGGCGGGGAGGGCTCAGTGTTTGCACTAACTCTCGAGGGACTAGGAACAAGCATTTGTCCCTTGGTCTCTTGTAGCCATTCCATTTGGGGATGGGATGTTCAGAGAAGTTTCTAGGTTTCTGACTGTAAATGTGAAGGGAATCTGAACCAATGGAGTCTTAACCTTTAAGCTGTGGATCTTCATGCTACCTCCCCCTTTGCTGATAAGAAACTTCTGATGCTTTAAACAGATAAGCAACCATCTGGGCACAGACGTAAATAGGGAGAGAGAAAGATCAACCAGGACTCCCCCTGCCTTTTCTTGAGCTAATTTGGGACTTCTCTCCTCTCTCCCCATCACCCTCCTCTACCTGGCCCTCTCTCCCTGCTGACAAAGAGGGAACTGAAGGAGACAAGAGACCCCTCCCTCCCCGCCTTGGCATCATGTGCTGGGTAGATGCCCACGAGGCCATCCAAGCCTTAGGCCAGCCTTGGAGGAGGGCTTGATGACTCCCATTTTACAGATGTGTCAGGTGAGCTCAGAGAGGTTAAATACACAAGGGCAGCCCTGTTATGTAATTCAAGTCCAGGGCACCCTGGAGCCTGGACTCTATCCCGGGATTCCAAGGTTGTTCCATGCAAAAGGTCTCTGACTTCTGATCCTGAGGGCCCAAGAAATCCAGGCTCCGAGCTTACATCTCAACCGCCAGCCCTCTTTCATCTTCCAGAGCCTCTGTGTGAACCTGGCCAGTGCCAGTGAGCAAGGTTGCACACAGGAGGGGCAACTGGGAACCTCCTAGGAGAGGGGCTCTGTGCTGAGCTCAGGGAGTTTCTCTCTCTCCCTCTGACCCTCCCCCTGCTCGGACTCTAAATAAATAAATAAATTCATTAAATCTTTAAAAAAAAAAAATGAGCCCACCTCTGTCTCAGCTTTGACTGAACAGAGAGGTAGGCAGGAAGCAAAGAAAGATTCTCATTTCTAAGGCACCTTGCTCCTCCGGAGAGCATCAGCCTCACAAGCCACCATCTTCTCCAGCATTCTTGCTTGTTTTAGGGGAACAGAAGTGGCAATGAACTCTTGAGCCTGGCCTGGTTGTCCTGTCTCATTGGGGCCACAGATGTGCATCCACCCTGTATAAGAGACCGTGTGTAGTGTGTATGCAGTCTGTGTTTAGTCTTGGGGTTTGATCCAGGAAAACTTACCTCTCTGTGAGCGCCACAATGTGGGCCCCCAATTTGATGGGTCCCCTGTCCAGGTTAGACTCCAGAGAAGTACCCCAGCCTCCCAGCAGGTGTCCAACAGGAGTGAGCAGCCTGTGCTCACTCCAGGCCATGGCTCTGTAGTAGTCAATTCTTCTGCACATCTGAGCATGTCCCATCCTTGCTTGGAAACCTTCCTTGGCCCCTTGTTGCCCTACAGGATAAA